ACTCTTTCCAGGCCTCAGCCCATTTTTGTTGCTCTCCACTGGACTCTTCCATCCTGTATTCATCTTTCTTGAACTGTAGAACCCCAAACTGGACACAGTGCTCCACATAAGGTCTCTCTGCTTATTTTCTTCCATATCTTTGTTGCTTACTGTACTCCTTATCTGGTAGCTGACTTTATTTGTGAAAAGTGAAGTGAAAAAGGCCTTATGTATTTCAGCCTTCTCTGCATCACCCATAACTAGATTGGCATCTGCATTCTATAAGGGTTCTTTGGTTTCTTTGATCATCCTCTAACTTTTGGCATACTTGTAGAATCCCTTTTTGTTCTCTTGTCTTTTATGGATTGCATCTCAAAATGTGCCTTGATTTACTAATTTTCTCCTACACTTGTGCCATACTCCAATAATCTTACCTAGTAATCTAAATTTCTACTATTTATAGGATTCCTTTTTAAGTGTTTGCTCATTTGAAGAGATCACACTGTAGCCAGACCAGTCTCCCATTTCACTTCCCATTTTTCCATTGCATTGAGATACCTTGCTTCTCCACCCTTAAGATGGCCTCCTTAAATTACAGTCAGCAATCCTAGACTCTTTTTCCCCTTAGGCATGCTTCCCAGGCCACCCTCTCCACCAGTCCCCTGAGTTTGGTAATGTTTGCTTTTTTGAAATCAGTGTCTTCATTCTTCTCCCCTTCTTTCCTCTCCTGAGGCTCCTGAATTTTTTCATTGCATGGTCATTGTCACCCAAGTTATCCCCAACCTTCACATTCTCAATAATTCCTCTCTGTTTAGAGGAGCAAGTCAAGAAAAGCTTCCCTGCTAGGCTTTTTCACCACCTGTACCAAAAAGATATCCCCAACATACTTCAAGAATTTGCTGGACTGCCTGTGAATTGCTGTGTTTTCCTCCCAGCGCATGTCACAGTAATTTAAGTCCCCCATGAAAACCAGGTCCTGAAATTTGGAAACCTCCATCACTTGTGAGATCCCACTGAAGACAAATACATAATATTTAGCTTGATAATGGTAATGCATTCATCCTAAAATATCCATCATCTAAATATTGGAATGTCAAGAAATGCATTGTTATGTGATTTTCCCCTGAATGGCATGAATAGTTCAACGATGAATATGCTCAGAACAAGAACTTATGAAAAGTATAAACTTAGGGACCAAAAAAATGCTCTTAATAGTCAGCATGTCATTTTTACTCATCACGAGAGACCACCTAAAGGTGCCACCTCTCTGTCTTCCAAGTTATTGCTCTTGCATACAGGAAAGGTGGATTTATATTTAATCTGCTTCATTGAAATTTAAATTCCTTTGCCTTATGCCTTGCCCTATGTTTGAAGGGAAAATCATTTTTCTTCATATTCTTTATGGCACCCTTTCAATGTATGTTGTTGCCTAAGGAAGCTGTGAATCGTCAATCATTACAGCATTGAAGAGAATGCTGATTGGGCACACATTTGGAATAGATTAGGAATAGCAAATCCCATACATATTCAGAAGATAGGACTCAATACCCCTTCAGGATCCTTCTAACCCCATGAGACTGTGAGTACCTACAGACATTAAGGGGCTGCACTCTAACTCATGACACTTCACACAAAGCACCATGAGTTAGAGGCTTCATCTCCCCCAACCATACAGATGTTTGCCTGTTGGGCATGGGAGGCTCGGGCCTGCCCGCACTAGCCTGGCCAACAGGTGGGGGCAGTCTGGCAGCCTTCTCGATGGCTGCCAAAACAGCCCTCTCCCCAGCCCCATCCTCCCCCAGCTCCAGGCCTTCAGCAGGGGAGGAAGGTGGAGAAGAAGGGAGCAGCACATACCTGATGGCTGGGCTTTGTCTAGCTGAAGTTGGAGGGAGCATGGGGTAGAATGGTACCCCCTTGCCATGCAGGCTGCCTACTAGATACTCTGGCTGGGGTACTGGGGAAAGCCAGGCTGTGCCCGCAATGCAAGGAGACTCTGTTCCATCCTGCCCCCACCCCGAAGCTTCAGGCATGGAAAAGTCAAGCTGGGAACTGCTGCTGCCACAGTCAAAAGGCCTAGGTGGTGGGATGGTTAGGGTATTGGGGGAGCTGGGGGGAGCCTGTGAGGTGAGGGGGGCTGCCTTGCCCGAGCCCCCACCTGGGCCTCTTGACAGTAGCAGCAGCAGCTGCTAGCTCAGCTTTGCCATGGCCACAATTAACAGGGGTGGAACAGAGCCCTCATGGAACAGTGCCATCATGGGGGCCACCACTGCCCTCTGCATTACAAATTCCCCAAGATGGAGCAGCCTTGCTATGCCTCTGAAATAAGTCAAAAGCACTCTGCCAGGTTTCTGGCTGTGACTAGACAAACTCAAATGTTCTGTCACAAGGAATCCCCAGGTGGTTAAGTGAGTGTTTTGGATCAGTGAACAGGGAGAAGCAGGATTTTCAACAATGAAAATATTAGAAGCCAAGTTCAGGTCAACTCTAACAAGTGAAAACCTTCATGACTGCAGGCAACAAGCAGTGCCACATTTCACACAGAACTACAGACCATTGCCTGGGAATCTTTAGCACCAGACTTGGCCCTAGAGCTGCTCTGAAGAACCATTATTGTACCACAGGCAGCAGTCACTTACTCTTCTGACTTACTACAGATGTATGTTTTGTGGGGGTGGGGTTTATGAATCCTTAGGAGACACTGAAAATTATATGAATGAAATGAACTGAGTAATGCTGAAGTTATCATGTTATCTTCTAATTTTGGCAAAACATGGGTATATGTCAGAGCCACTGTAATCCATGCATGCTAAACTGACATTTAAGAGTGGCGTCTATCCATGAGAAGATTAGCTGTCCCCTGACGCAAGAGCTGAAATAATAGAAGCCTTCATCCAGAACATGGTCCACCGGGAAGGCAAAAGTATGGAATGGTGCAAGGAGATTTTCAGGAATCTGATTAGCAATTAAATGTTAGGGAATTGACTAGATGTGCCCATGTGCAGGCACACATGTGAGTATGAAACAGAAAAAGAAATCAGCTGAAAATCAGGGACAGATGTAAAATAGAAAAGGATAGTACAAGATTAGCCTGATAAGACCAAACAATTGGTTTACTAGATAATGTTTTCTGAGAAATTAAATCAACATGCATATTCATCCTCAGATTTTAGCTGCTGAGTGCAGTAACACTTTGTGCATGATTGTTTATTTCTCTCCCAGGTTTTCAAAGACCATGTCTGTGCGTGGAGAAGGGTCCTGTGCATTTGTCAATAATGGAGTCATCGGCATATCTACACGCACAAAGTTGGCTCATTTTATTTGTGAGAAAATGGCTATACAATGAACCTTTTGCACTGGCAGCAGAAGGATCAGAACATCAAGAAGAAAAGCATTCAACTTTTTCAAAGACAAAGAGACATTGCTGCCCTAAGTTGTTCTTGTGCTACCCATGAGACAGAGGAGCTGTAACATCAAAGGAGGAACCACGGCCTTGGGAAATGTTCCCAGCCAGTCAGAGCCCTCCCACCAACCTGGATAGACTATCATTCCCAGTCTAGTTCAACAGATTTGTTTTACGTTTTTTTAAACTAGAAATTAGGCAATAAATACTTTGCAATTGATAAAAACAATGAGGAAGAACACAGTGTGATAAAGCAACAAAAAAGAGGAATAGGAAGGAAGGCTAAGGATATGCAGTCTAAAAAGGTCTCACCAATGCTCACAGAGGTAGGAACATCTATAAGGCTTCCTCTACCATAGGTAGGCTGTTTAACATTAGTTTGGGTATCTGTTGGTCTAGGAACAGGCATTGAATTTGTCCTGGTGGGATAAGTTGTGCCTGTGTGCATGTCCCAGAATAAAAAAATATCCAGGGTTTGGTGTGTAAAAACCACCCTTCTAATCATGGATTAGTGAGTGACTAAGTGCATCACTGCTTTTCTGCCACTGATTCAGTAATACAATCCTCTACAGATGTACTTTGCAATAGCCTGGGATAAACTGTTCCTATTTCTGGGACAAAGGAAAACTTTATAGGATTGATTGTGGGACAATGGACATGGACATGTGAGTGACTACACTTTGTCCGAGGACCAAGTGGTTTATCCTAGAATTAATGTGATGCAGCAGGTTACTGTTTGCAGCAGTATTCCTGGGAATAATCTAAATTATTTGCCTTTCCCTGGTTTCTTGGTAAAATACTGTTTATAGCTGCATGTTCCAGATGAATCAACTATAAGGAAAAGTTATGCTGACAGAGTCTTAATTTCTTCAGTTTAAGAGAATCAAAGTGATAGGCACCACTGTGGCTACTGAGGGCATTTTTACACATGCTCGCAGATGCAGCGCCAGACCCTTTAATTAGCGAGCTACATTAAAAGCACCCGTGTGTCACGTGTATCAGCATCACCTCGCATCTCCGTGCTGAAAAGATGGTGGTGGGGTGCTTTGAATTAAAGTTCATTGGACGTGTTATTTTGTCAGTGCTGACATGTGTGGTGACACTGATATATGTGGCGCATGAGACTGCTGGAGTGTGTCAATTTCCATGCTCCAGCAGACTAGATTAATCGTGCTCTCACACACTGGATTTCCAGTGCATCGGAGCAGGCTCCCCACATGTGTATAGGAGGCTTGAATGACATTTTTAGAGTACAGACGTATCCTGAGCAAGAAGCACCATGAATTAACAGTGCAAAACTTGAGAAATTATTGTGAATCAAATTATTGTTTTTGCAAATGAAAGAACATGATATGTGTTGGCTCTGGATTTAGGACCCAGATACCTTGTTCTGTTGGGGACCTAGCCAGGGGAGGACCCACCCTCAGACCGACCATGACTTTTCCATTTGATAAGAGACAAATTTATTGATACATTTAATACACAGTGATAACAGAAAAGAAACAATACAAGCAATCAAGCAATTCTATATATCTACCAAATCCTAGGGCTGTCATAAGAGTCAAAGTACATCTGGCCAGGACACAGTCTCCACTCTGAAGCTGTCTTAAGTATCAGATGTCAGCATGTCATCAGTCTGGAGGTGGGATTGTGAGGCCCACACCCCTCCCCTGTGGGGTGGATGAAATGGGCTGGTGGTGTGCCCTCTGTCCATTGTGGCCTCAGGGACCCTCCCAGGGGATGGGGACCCCACTCAGGGAGGAACAACCCAGGTAGGATGAGATGAAAGAGGGAGGGACAGGGAGGAGGGACCCTTTGTTACTGTGAGCAGGTTGGGCAATTGCAGGTACGTCTCTCCCTCTGTACTCACCTGCCACGACTTGGATGAAGAAGAAAAGAAGGGAAATTGGTATTTTTTTTTATATTTGAGATTAATAACTGCAACCCGGATGTTATGTGCTCAAAAGGGTTTGGTTTATTCTCTGTATTTGCACAGGTATTACAGCACCCGTCGCCTCACCAATTACTTCATTGGTGAGGAGTGCACAGGTTATGGATAGAAAAGTTTCCAACACTCCTTCAGTTGGTTACTTTACCCGCTTGTTGCCACTAATTACCTCATTAGTGGCACACGCTCACCATGCCTCTCTATTCTTTATAAGTGTCCTGAGCTGGGAGCAGCCCCGGCCTCTCCCCTGCTGTCGGTGCCAACACTTATGGCACTGGAGCAGTCCTGACCATCTCAGGGGTTGGTGCTTGCTTCCCCCTGCCTGTGTCTCATCCAGAGACACCTTCTTCACTTTGGGATTCCCCCTCCCACTGCCAAGCCACGTCACAGCGCCTTGGCTCTTCTCCAGACTCACTGGAACAGCTGCAATCTACAGGTAAGGGACCAGTCTTGTATCTGACCTGCCGTTCTCCAGAGTCCCTCAGTCTTGGCATCCTCTTAGGTCACAGATCCAGCTGCTGGCATCATTTCCACTGCAATCATGATCACTCCTTGTCCATTCTCTGGTGCATGAAGACAATGAGTCTGTCCTGCCACTGGCTTTTATGCCAGTTTTGATGGGCTAATCACCTGCTCCCCTTTCAGGTGTGTGAGTCCCTCCACCTGGCAGGGTTCATCCTCAGGTCAACCCTGCCCAATTTTACCTAATTAACAGGGCTCCTGCCTGAGCTGCTGTTACAGTTACTCTCAAATATCTGCTTTTGAATTCTCCTTCCCTCCTTATGACTCTTGATGTCACTGGTTGGTCTCTCTGTGTTGTTGTCATATGTCCAAGTAGCTCATCACATGCACACATACTAATTTGGACTGTTCCCCCCAAAACCAGGACTCAGGCCCTTCCGCTCTGGGACCTTGTTAGCTGGTACCATGGTACTTGCCCCCAGTTTCTCATTGTGTGTATAGCTTTGTTGTGTTAGACCAGATGGGGAAAATACGGCCCGTGGGCTGAATCAGCCCATGGAAGGGTTTTGTCCAGCCTGCAATGGATCCCTCGGTCCTGCCTAGCCAAGGCGCCACCCAGCTGTGCCACATCCTGCCACCCCCAGGAAAGCAGAAGAGATGGGGTGGCTCTGCAATGGAACTGCCTTTCTAAGCACCCCAGGCGGCAGCAGCTCCTTTGCTGTTGCCACTGGCCCTAGCCCTGTGGTACAGGCAAGGATCAGTGCATGCAGCCCCATCCCCACATGCCAGCTCCAGACTCACCAGTGTGGGCTGAGCAGCTGCAGCACAGGACAAACTGCTGCTCAGTGCGGGGGGAAAAGTGGCCCCTCCTCCTTGCCAGCACTTCCCGGTGCAGACACCTGGAGCCTGTGCAGGGCTGCCCTGCATCTATACCGCATCACTGCCACCCACACAGGGAAATGGTGGCAGCACAGAGCAGATGCAGGACAGCCAGGCACAGACTCCGGGTAGCTATACCAGGAAGCACCAGTGAGGAGAAGGGGCTGCTTTTCCCCCTGTGCTGAGCAGAAGTTTCTCTACCATGAAACCACTGCAGAACCTGGGCCCCGGCTCTCACTCCAGGCTAGCCCATCTGGGCTGAGCAGGAACAGAAAGTGTTCCTTGGCATGGGGGAAAGGGGACTCTCCCCCTCACCACTGCCAGGCAGTCTCTTAGCTATGGAGCCTCTGGGCTGCCTGGTGCAGTGCAGGTTCTAGGCAGTTGCATCGGCACTGCTGCTCCTGCAGTTGCTGCTGCTGCTGCACAGACCAGACAGGTGAGCCAGGAGCCAGTGCAGGTCATGCAGGGTCAGACCTCACAGCAATGGCAGCCAGAAGGAGCCACCCCACACCTGCTGCATGCCCAGGGGTGGCAGGATACACCAAGGCCAGGTGGTGCATAGCACGCTGGGGCTGCATACTGTTGGCAGTGGCAGGGGAGACACCACAGGACATACAGGCTCCAGACTGTTGCATGGCAGGGGCAGGAGCTGACAAGCTCAGGGGGGCCTGCACACCCCAAATACCCTCAAACCCTCCCCTGCAAGCCCCAAAACCACACCCTCCCCCACACACAATGACACACCCCACAAATACTGTATCCACACATACATCTATAGCTTCTGGGGGGAGCCCTGCTCACTACTACATGCACAAACACCACCACACACATGCACCCACACACACATACCCAGCCACGCTCTCCCTCCACATACCCTACAGCCCCCCATAAACCCCATACCCAAACACCCCACAAACCCCCCATACCCACCCACATCACACACACAACCCACATCACACACACAGCCCAAAGGCCCCCTCAAACCCCATACCCACCCACAAACACACCCACAGCTCCCCACAAACCCAATACCCACCCATACCTCCTACACACCTCCACACCCCACAAAATATAGAAGAGTAAGATTTCATTTGGAGCTATTATGCAATCACTTCTATATATACAACAGTAACTCACAAATCCAGACTTTTTGTTTAATTAAATTAAAATATATTATTATGGATGTTTGATTTTTAGTATATAATTTGGAGGGGTTTCAGTTCTAAGATGGCAAACCTCTTCCCAAAAGGAGTACTTCCAGGGGAAAGGGGAGGCATTTCTGGTGGCAAAGGTCAGAGGCTAGGGACAAGGACTTCCCGTCCCAAGGTGGAAAGGTAGCAACTAGGGGGTGGGATGCTTGACAAAGGGTGGGTCTACCCTTGCAGCCCTCAAGAGCTCACCAAAACTCATTAAGTGGCCCTCCAGCTGAAATAATTGTCCACCCCTGTGTTGAACACTCTGCTTCCAAGGCTCTGTGAAACTCTGTGAGAGAGAGACCCAGGCACTAAAAATCAGTTAACCCCTGCTGCCCATCCTGAACCATTCTAAGACATACATACACCTATAAGCCAATTCCCAAAAAACCAAACCTTTAAATACCATTTCTAAGCCAACAATAAGTATGTCCAAAAATGTAAACAAATGTGTTTCAGCCAAAATTATCACTGGTTACATGGATGATTGCTGACATAAAATTGTTTACATTTTATCCATTTTCTGTAAGATTTGAAGACAGTATAATGAAGATTGCAGTACATTTTTCTACTAATTAAGGGCACATCTCATATTTTTAGAGCAAAATGCATATATATTTTTATGGAGGTCAGGCATGTGAATTCTACATGTAGGAATGAATAACAAAGCACTCTGTCCACTCTGTCCTTCTGTGTTGCCATTAATTTGG